GAGCACGCCGGGTTCTCACCGGACCAGGCTCTCACATCACCAAGCGCGAAGCGCCGTGAGATATTCGGCGAGTCGCATGAAGGGTGCGCTGCATCCTGCTAAGGTTGTTCGGTATCTTGTGCTTACATCCTTGCATACGAATGACAGCTGCGTACATGACTAAATTTATTTTCTGGTGCTTTCACTTCCAGAGACGGTTGTAAGCACTGTGTAACTGCCTCGAGGGTGCTTGACCATTTTAACACAACGTGGTGCGATCATACCCCTTGCGCGGAGTGAGGGTTCTCGACCCCGCACAACATGATCTGCTCGACCACCATTATGGTTATCGCCCAAAAAACAACAGAGGTTAAAAAAAAACACGGTAACCTGGTTGCCGAACTCACGAAGTGAATTGACTTGTTTTACAACGTCGTTGCCAAGCGACGAAAACCCAACCACGATGGCAAAGGTGTGGGGGGGGTGCTATTGTCGATAGCAACGCCCGGCCGCGTGGGGCTGATTTGCTGATCTACTTTGTGCGTGCTCGTGGTTTTTTTTTTGTCATCGAGAAGCTTATTGGCTGACATATCCTGGTGTACCTCCCTTGCGCGACGCCAGACAAGTATATCGGCCGCTAGTTTTACCACCACACCATTCGTCATGTCATGGGCCAGCTGTATTTCCTCTCTCCGCTTCCCGTACAGCCTCGCTATTAAACATCAGCCGCTCAAATGCCGGTGCTCTCTTGCTCCGCCTCGTGCACGTTGTCTTTACGACCACACTGTTTTTTCTCATGTCATCGGCCTCTACTTCCTCTCGCCAGTTCCCGAGCATCCTCACTTGTCACGTCCTCGCTCATTTGCTGGTAACCTCTCGTTTCTCTCCGTACAAGTTTGTTTTCGCCCGCTCTCCCCCCCCCCCCCCCCCCCCCCCCTAAGAGACCTGCACACTGTAGACGACGGCGTGCTCTCCCATCTGTCGACGGAGCTGGGCAAGCGCGACTGGGACGTCCTCGTGGCGCACTTCCTGGGCGTGGACCACGTGGGGCACACCTTCGGCCCGGCCTCTCAGGCCATGGAGGACAAGCTCGACCAGATGAACTCCGCCCTGAGGCACGTATGGTCGTGGTCCCGATAGACCTGCCGCGGTCCCGAGAAGTGCGGGTACTTATACATCGCCCGCTTGTTGGCTACCTACACTGTTGTTGTTGTTGTTATTATTGTCTTCGCATAGAAAACCGTTCCGTTCTCTCTGTCCAGTACCTTCTTCTGTCCGTCCTTGTCTAACACTTGACGGGGTCGATTCCCGTGGTCACCTGAAAGCTATATATTCCCTCCAACTCTCAATAGTGCGGTGTCCCGATATCCCCGCGGTTGTTTCTCGCTTGTCACTACACCGCAGTACTGAAGGACCACCACCTGTACACGTTAGCGCAAGAACCGTTTTAATGCCCGAGGGTCCTTGCTCCATCGGGTACCCCAGGAGCGACTGCTTGTGCAGGGTTCTTCGACCGAGCCCCTTTTCTCTATGGCCAAGTCGTTCATTTTCCCCCCTTTTTTGAGCGAAATCAGGTTCTTACCTTCCAGGTTCTTGAGTGTGGACGCTAACTGCAGAGGGGATCCCTGTTTAGTGCCGGGTGAATGGTGCCATTACCCGGCATATAGTGCCGGTGTTTTCGTTGGGCACACACTGAATTTCCAAGTTATTGTCAGTGCTTTGAATACTGCCGGTCCGGTATAGTGCCGGTGAAACTCTGGGCACATACCGGCACTTATCAGGGACCCCCTCTGTGTTATATAAGCGGAAACCGCTTGAGTGGTTTTCAAGGAACATGCCCTTTTCGCCGAGTGATGAAGCGGTATGGCTGCGCCGGGAAGCGCTACTCACCAACTCAGCATGGTTGTCGTAGCTGTCCCCCTCTCTAGACACGCAAACTGGCACACACAGAGAGACATGCACACGCACTTTTTACACTCGCAACAAGTGCTGAGAGGGCTGATTTAAAGTGAAGACAAACAACAATATTAAGAAATCGGAAATCGGCCCTTTTGTCATAATTCGAGGTTTTGCACCCGCGTGAACAATCAACCAGCAAGTGCAGCCGTGCGAGCAGGTTGCCCAATCAGATTATGGGCCCCGCGCACACCGCTTCTGCCTGCATCCTCGGCATAAATAAGTTTGTGATGCCACCCCGTGTTTTTTGTACCATGTGCGTGGACCCCTCTCCCTCCGAAATGTGACGCCTCCCCCCCCCC